GAGAGAGAGAGAGAGAGAGAGAGAGAGAGAGAGAGAGAGAAGAATTGGTGCCTCAGTTTTCTTCTTTCCCTTTTTCATTCCTTTTGTCAGGGCTTCTTAGGTTTTACGTTTGAGGGCAGGGACAGGCTAATCTTTATTTATCAGTAAACTACCCTGAGTATGGTTGAAGAGCCAAAGATAAGGGAGAAGAGTTTCTTAATGGCAATGAAGATAATACATTTTATGCTCATCTCTTTAAAAAAATACCTGCTGCCATATCTGTAGTTTGGTCGTGTCATCCTCCCCCAGCTATGAGACCCCCGGTGCAGTTGTGTTTCTTTTCTCTTGCAAGAGAAATGTGGCTGTAGCAGCTAATCTAGGCGGATTCCTTCTGGCCCAGGTTTCAGAGAAGAGGAGATCACATGTTTCCTGGATTTCTCTGCAAAGAGTTATTTTATCAACGCTAGGCGGTGCTCTTTATTTTTTTTTCCTTCCACTTACCATATAGACACACAGATTTCCTCTGGCTTTTCGCAATAGGAGCTTAAATCACACTTGCTGTAGCACACCTGATCTTCACATTTTGGGTTTGTGTTGTCACACCATTTACACAGGTTGCTGTTCATATTCCATCCCGCTTGGCTATCACATGCTGTGAGTGCAAACAAACAAAAAGCACTCTGATTCAGTGAAGGGATTTGTGTGCCTTATTCACTGATTTGAGTCCATTTATTTACTTGTTGATTTTATTAGATTTATATCCTGTCTTTTTCTTTTTGAAAGAACTCCAACCTGCACATTATTGCATGTGGTACTGAAAGATACACTATGAAGCAGTAACCCCTTCATGAGCAAACACGTGAATTTCACGTACTGCTACAAGGAGAGGACCGCAAACACCACGTGAATGATTTTTATATATTCAGACGATGGGAAGCTCTTGGTTGTGGGAGTAGCACTCTAAAAATCAGCAGTTTGTCAAAAGAACTTGTTGAAAACCAGCTCATTCATTTTGTGCCTTGTGCCAACATGTGAAGGTGCACTCATGTTGACACGTAATCATAAACTCTTGCGATGTTTCTACACACTCTTTTGTTTTAACCAATGAACACATGCTTGTAGCACACAATTGATGACTCCAGGTCTTCCCTCCAGCTTTCGCTTCAATGCACCATGGCCCACGGTTCCAATTCCCTGTTGTCAAGCCTCTGATGAAGACCTCTCAGAGCCCGGAAAGGACTGAAGCTCATATCGACATCAACTTGCCTCAAGGCCCTCCATCCCAGCAGAGTCCCTGGGACCAGCCCTCCAGTTTCTGGAGGAAGATCACATTGCCTTTCTTAGATCCGGCTTCCGAGGGCACTGCTGCCACTGGCATGCAGTTCCAAGTGCCTCTCTGCAGTCCATGCCTCCAGAAGCCTCCGTGCCGGCACGCCCAAAGGCTTCCGTAGCAAAAAAGAAGGTCCTGCACAGTGCATGGGAGGAGCTAGCAGCTACTGGAGTAGCAGAGCACGCCAGCCCTGGCCCACCCGTGCCATGTTCCTCTCACCGTATGCATGTAGGCAGCCTGAAGTAGAGAGCCTCCCCTGATCATGCTGGCTTGGCACATGATCAAGAGCCTTGATTTCCAGCATCCTTAGTTGCTCCTCAGAGAGTCCCCAGGGCTGCAGGAGACCCTCTGTTGCAGGCTGTCGGCTTCTATGCATACAGTACGACAGATGAGAGTTCCTCCACTAGTGTGTCGTTTTGATGCAGCATGAAAAACACTGAACAGGGCTTCTGTGTCTGCCAGCTGCTGGAGCAAGGTACTGACGAACTTGCCTGGCTCCCAGCCTCAGCCCCGCTCTAGCCTGGCTGCCCTCTTCCCAGTCCTGCCTCCCTTGGCTTGCTCCAAACCCAGGCAAAGACATGATCCACAGCGGAACCGTAAGCCTGCCTGGTGCCGCTGCAGTGGTTCATTTCTGCAAAAAGGGTTGCTGTAAAATAATACCTGACCAGATTCATAGTCTTGGAACCTACCAGTTATTTGGATGGTCTTGGCTAACTTCTCAGAATGGGGCAAAAGTAGTCCTCTTCCCACACTCCCCTGCTGTGGTGATGCATCTTGGTAACTGCATGTGAAGGGAAACAGTCGGAACTGCAGCCTGAGTGGGAACTGGCCGAGTCAGAGAGGACTGAATTTTGGGGCTCTGTAAGCGAACAGTATGTTGAGGTTCCACTGACTTTCTCTCTCTCTCTCTCTGGAGGTCTGCTATGGGACACAGGATATGGTTGCCTGTTGGAGTTTATCTCCACGCCTTATCTCCAGCTGTGTTCAATCTTCATGTTTGTAAGTAAGCTCAAATATTACCAAACACCAATAGGGCTCCAGTGACCACCTTCCAAAGGAAACCAAACTTTGGCAAGTGCTTCAGTCCTAGAATGTCTCGTGTGTCGGAGAAGGGGAGAAGATGGAGCAATATTGTCTGTGGAGTGGTCTCGAGACCGCTCTGGGTGATTTCACTTGCTTCTCGCTCAGATAGCCACTCTGCCATGACTTTTTTTAAACATGAGCCAGAATAGGGAGGATCAAGCAAAGGCTAAAATGTGGTTGGCTGATCACAAAGAAAGACCTTCTCTCAGGCACACACATTTGTGTGCCCGCCCCTTATCTGGCACAGCTCCCAGAGTTGGAGGAGATCAAAGCAGCAGACTAACAAATTGAGGCAACATGGCTGTTTCAAAGAACAAGGCAGATCTGGGGATGGGCAGAGCTAAAAGTCCCAATTTCTGATGTAAACTCTCTCATAGATTTGCTTGATAGGAATTAAAAATGCACTTTTGTAAGACTCACAGATTATATAGTTATGTTGTGGTCTCTAAACTCTCTCTTATTTCTATTTCTTTTCATTGTTTTACTTTAAGCTAGATATACTTTAATGAATGCCTGCAGAATGAGAGGAGATCGCAACAAGATTGAGAAATAAGACCTCTCCCTCTCAGTGCTGAACCACCAATTATAATTATTTAATGTATTATTTCATATTCTTTACATATTTTTCAAGGAAAGTGCTCTGCACTTACACCTGCTTGTAGCCTCCCCAGGGGTATCACTGTGGGCCGCGATGGACTAGGTATGCCCAAGGTCTGGCTGGAAATGGAATAGTGAGGTGAATGTTCTAAAGGGCCAGCGCAGATTGTGGGTTGGTGAAGCTCTTCTGGAATACATGAAGGGACACAAATGTTCACCGTAGGGCCACAAGGTTGGCGGCCGGTTTGCAGGGAATGCCGCATGAGGCGAGACTGAGGGAACCGGCTCTCTTCAGCCTGGAGGAGACTCAGAGGGGATCGGTTGGCGACATACAGGTATGTGAGGGGGTGTCACACAGAGATGGGTAGAGACCTATTTCCTCCTGCGGGCCGAGGGCAGGTTGTGTTCCAATGGAGCAAAGCTCAGGGAACCAAGGTTCAGTTTGGATGCCAGGAAGCCCTTCCTGACAGTTAGGACCCCAAGGGTGTGGAATGGGCTTCCATGGGAGGTGGCTGAAGCCCCATTAGTGAGGATGTTCAAAGATAGGCTGTACATGCACATGGTGGGCATGTCGTGAGTGGAGCCGGCTGGAGCTGGGGGTCAGACTAGATGATCTCGGAAACCCCTTCTGACTCACTCTGTTTCTATGTTTCTATGTTCATGAGTTCCTGGCTGCTGTGGGCCCAGTTATCTTCTCAGACAGGGATGAATATGTGTGTGTGTGTGTCTGTAGCAGATGGACGTATGAGGACTGGGAGATAATATAGTACCTTGTAGGAGCAGGGCAAGTATTCCAATGGCCACTGAGACTTTTAGTTGGAAGAGTCAACCTGTTTCATTCATTCATTAATCTAGCTCGCATATTGATATTTCTTAAAGCTTAGAAAGCTTTGTTCAGGGATTTCCACATTCACTTTGGAATTGACAGTTCCCCACATCCAGAAGAGAAATACTGTGATGGTCAAGGCGCCTCACACTTGCTCCTGGAAGCCTGTGAGACCAATTGCAAGGCTCCAAAAACTGAGAGTCACTGACATACAGTGGCATCAATAGCACATGACTGAATCAGAAGCATGAACAATATATTATCATTATGCAGACTTTCACCTCTTTCTTTCCACCCAGGGAAACGAGTAACAGAGACTTGGTAGGTGCCTTTCAGAAGCTGGAAAGTAGGCCCAAATCCCTGGTTCAGATTATCAAACTCATGCTGTTCTTCCAAATAATATTTTATTCCAATTTTCAGATTTGACTCTTTATTGTTCTGAGCACCCCTCTATTTCTGGCAACCAGCAGTAAAACTCCCATCCTGTTTCCTGATTCATAAGAACTATATTTTGCATTATAAAAGAGACAGCTTTTGAAATAATGCTATGATGGGTGAATTTAGTGTGTGTGTGCATGTGTGTGTAAGAGAAAGAGAGACTTTGCAATAATGTTGACTCGTAGTATCATCAAATCCTTATGTCTTCAATTTATTCTTGGAGAACTTATCCTCATATTTAATTAGTTTATAGTTTGTTCCAAGTTTTGCTTTTCCAACTTTTTTTGAAGCTTTTATTTTGATGTTTTGCATTTTCCTCAGCAACATCTGGAATGCCTTTTGTAGAAGCTTGTTGTTAATTTAATAAAGCTGCACAAGCAGTTAAAGTATCTGAGCATTAACCTTGAAAATATTCATCTGGGTTTAATTAGGGGTAAGATGAGTGATGTGGCAGTTAAACTACAAGTTAATGGTTCAGGACACAAAGTTTTAATAGTAGTTTTAGCAAGTTTTTTTGCCCTGATTTTCACTAATTAAGAAGTGATGCTCCTAAGGAAAAACATTCCTTCCAAAGAAGATAGTGGAATTGCATGACAAACCTAGTTTATTGTACTAATCTCCCATTGTAAGATATTTTGAGTATATTAATGGTTCTGTTGTAAGTGGATTTTTTCCCACTCCCTAGCCCATTTCTCAAATTACGATTCCAATCCTAAGCCTATTTAGAGGTAGATCCCAACATTTTAGCATTTGCTTTTGTGATGCTCATAGGTTAAATAATTATCATATTAATATTTATATTAAGGTATCTTACACCAGGTTCAAAAGAGTCTTTCATTCGGCCAGTGACCAGATCCAGACCTGCTAAACTTTGCCAAGGTTGCTGCTTCAACTGGTATTTTCAGAATGCGCACTGAAATGGCTTATCCATAGGTACTGATTCAAGAGTCCAGGCTTCCAGCACCAAAGTGTTAAAAAAGGGGGAAGCCAATTTACAGGAAGGGTGATGTTCTTTCAGACCCCTTTCCTGAACTCCCCTCTGTATCACTGGGACTGAAAAGCATGTGCTACAGTTCTCAAATGCAACTGAAAAGAGAGTGAGGTAAAGCAGCAAGTCCTTGGTGGCATCTCTCCCCGTAGCACTTGCATTCCGCTGAGCCAAGCCCACATGGCTGGTCATGTCACATTAGAGGGATATGGATTTGGTTAAATTTGCTCTATCTGTGTTTTGTGGATTGTAAGGTTTATTGTTCTACAGAATCAGAATATTTTTTAGGGATACACAAGAAATGTGTTCCTGTTTTTAAATGCTTTTTAGTACTAATGTACAGTTGCACTAATACATTTGTACAAACAAATACATATTTGCACCCGCCCA